GAAATTCCACCTGGGGCGGATCCCGAAATTCTGCGCCTTGAGGACTAGGGCAGCACTTTGAATTATATATCCTCGAGAAATCACAACGTATCCTAACGCGATTCACTGCATCCAAAGTAAACTGGGGTGAAGCTCAAGGGTTCGCCAAAATATCACCTGATTGGAACCTGGGTCTTCTTCGCCAAAAAATCAACGCGAAAAGAAAATAACACTTCGAAACGGGTGCAAAAAGCACGCAACTGCGAGCAACCGAAATAAGCCGGTGGCTCAAACCGCCAAGTGTACCAAAACGATCGCTCAAGGTACGTGTTGACCGCTTGACGTACTAACTGCGAGTCTTTTCTAAAACGCGATCACTCAAAGTACGTGTTGACCCCTCGACGTACTAGCCGAGAGTCTCCCCAAAAACGATCCCCTTCTTCAGAATTGAAAGGCAAAAACCACACCCAAATTACCATAAAACAAAAATGGCTCCCGCTAGAAATTCTCCCATTGGTTCAGATAAAGAAGACTTAACCCACTCTAACTTCGTCGTCAACCTCAAGGAACTGCTGACTAAACTGATCTCACGGTTTTCTGCTGATGACGTGAAAACTCCTTATCTCTTGACGGCTCGGTGGTACATCCGCTCCTTTTCTCGGTCTAGACGGCGCCAAAGTTGATAAACGAACGACAAAAAACTCGCATTACTCATGATGACGTCAATCAGCTTTGCACTCTTCCCACGACGAAATTAAATCTGAGCGAAATTAAATCTATCGGACCATAGTCTTGAGCGAACCGAAATGCCCAAACACAAAATTTCTAACCGGAACAAATAATGAAATATACAGGGTGACCTGCACTATCATGACAAGGAATTTCGAATTTTTTAATGAAATTTGGCGCGAAATAAAACCACTCGTTACAAGGGTAGGCACGAGCATTAAATAAAAGGCATCCCCATAAAAATATCGAGCTTAAGGTCAATAAAAAAGGTACACAATCGAGAATTTTGATTGAAATGTGGGAAATTATGGTACTACCTCAATTACCTGCAAATCCCACGTCATCAATTTCAACGGTCCCAAAATCGGGCCAGTTCGCAAATTTCTGGAAAATTTACATTCAAGGTCTCGTACCTTGTATCACTTAGTGAAGATGAGTGCGAATGGAGATTTGACGAATTAATTACATGGTAAATAATTGATGACGATCCTATTTGTTCTTCCGTTTCTCCTGAATGAGTTTGTGAGCAAACACAATTATAAGTACCTACTTGCATAATATTGCCACATTTGTTTCGAGAAAATCGCCCCCAATTACAGTAGAAAATGAACCAGCCAGGTATTCTTAGGAATCAAGTTATATCAGCATTCAGCACTATTAGAAGAGATGGTAGATCTGCTGATCAGACAATCTTTGGTGAGTGAAGTGGGCGACAATGGCGACATGCTGCTAGACGACGAAAATTTGCACTTGTAGGAGTTTTGCATCCAATTGGTTTATAATATGTAAGTAATAATAATTTAAGAGCAAAACGGCTACCCATGAAAAGGTTAATGACAATTAATTCAAAATCAACCCATTAAATGAAAGTAAGCCTGAAGCAGGGTTTATTCCTAAATCAAATTGCGTCAACTATCTTTCCAAATTAATTTTCAAGTAACCCAATTCAACTGGTAATAAGAGAGGTCTATTCGTATTATGTAAGGCGTGACGCTATGCAAGTTTCCAAATGGCTACTGCCTTCCAAAGGAGAAATTCAACTGACAATAGAGATCATTTTCAACGCATCGATAAAAGTAAATTTTTTATGTGCTCCAAATTTTTTTTCTTTGAACGGGTATTAATGTAGATAGAAAATTCCAAAAGTTCAAAGAAAGTTTACTATGTTTCTTGTAGGCCTACAAGAAGCATAATACTGTGTTCATCTTCCATTTATTTGGTTACTGAGCTAGTGGTGGTATTTATAATTTTTATTACAAAAAATTAGTTATGTAAAATTTTTACCAGTGCCGTAGAAATTAAATTTTATTTTACAAGCGCAACGGGTGATAGGGGTAGTTTTCTACATCCCTTGCACAAATGATCGTGTTCTAAAATATACACTTCGATATTAGTAATTTTGTTCAAGGATCAATTCATTTCCAAAATATAAATGTATCCAATTGATAAAGTTAATCAAGTCATTGAAAAAAGTTATGACTTAATGAGTATCAGCATGTATGCGGTTTGGCACAAAAAAGTAATGAATTTATTAATTGTCTTAAAATTAAATTGGAATCTGGTAGCACAGAAATTATATGAATAGTGAAGACTATAACAGAAAAGTTAGTTTAATAGTAATTTAGATCCTCATAAAATAGAATATCTTAGAAGAGGAGCAGTTGCAAAAATTTGCTGAAGATAAAACATGAGCCAGACGGACTATATAACTAATTGACACAGACTTTATTATTGATCATGTAAGTACCTACGCCACTGGCCACAAATTTAAAGAACGTAGATCTAAAGTATTTTTTGTATAATTTTGGATACCTACCATAAAAAGTTAAAAAAAAAATGCTATTTCGATGATATATCCACTGTTCCACGAAAAATGTTCACCCTCTATATATATTTTATGTTTTATTGTTTAAATTGGGACTATGTGCAAGGAGCGTTGTGAACTTAGTTTAGTTCTCCTATTCTTCTTGGTGGGATTTTATTTGTAAGCCTGTATATTTCAATGTAAAAAGTTCGGAGAAATGTATAAATCTGAGTTTCGCCCGCTATTTGGAATAAAATAAGTAAATAACCATACACGTACATAGACGGATCGCCGTAAACTACGCACTAAAAAGAAGGCTCTCTTATTAAATTTCTCCCAGAACACATCTGGCACAATAAAAAAATTTCAATCTCGACTTCAAATTCCAAATTCTAAGGTAAATAAAAACCGCGATTAAATTCCTTAAATTCTACAAGGATTAATTGCACAAGCTTTGAAGACATCTGGTACGGATCAACAACATAAATCATAATTAAGAATCTGCATCGTTACAGGGTTCGAATAAGCACACGATTTAGGTACATGATTTCACACAAACAAAATTTATTTCAAACATACAAATCAAGTTCACCCTAAAATCCACGCAATCAGCGACAATTTACAACAAAGACCGTTACTACACTCCGTACATGCGTTCGATTACAATTAAACAAATAATGAAATTTTAAAACTACTTACAGTTCTCTGTTAAAATCCCAAAAATCCGGACACAGAGACCACGAATTGCGACAAAACGTATCGCAACTTGTTCTTTAACTCATCTTCCGATCAAGTCACAGGAACGTAATATTACTCCATTTGAATTAAGCAGGCTAACCAACCACGACAGATGAATTGAATGCTGTCCGGCAACTTAAATCAAAAACGGATACACCCAAACTTTTCTTCTCAAAACTTTCACTTGAACTCAGCTTGTTTCCGGATTATTACGTAATGATTTTTGCTTGACGAACAGCAACTCGGCCTCGAAATTGACAAAAGCCCCCTTCCTTACGCCAACGTGTCTTCCCTCCTTTTCACAATTCGAAAGACTTCATCCAATTACTAGACAAGCAATAAAACCTCCGTTCCTAGGCGCCCTTTTAAGATACGTAACACAATTTAACGCGAAATTCTTTTATCTGAGATAATTATGCATTGTTATCGTTAATTAATTACATCAACCTTTTATAAAAATAACCAAAGTCTCCATATATTAAATTAGAACTGTCACATAAATGATTTAACAAAGCAAAATTCATAAGCGATAAATTGCCTTACATTTAACAATTCTAGGAAATAATTTTTACAAAGAACAAAACAAAACAAACCACTTGGAAACAAATAGAAACGCAATACTCGCTTATTTTTTTACGTTTTATAGTTATTTGTTTCATTAGTACAAAAAATGTCAGTTTTCGGGACGAGGAAGATAGTTGCTGGACGACGCGTTAGCGGAGTCCAGCAACCTTCCGAGTCCCGAAAACGCATTTTTTGTACGAATAAAACATAAAATTTTTTCTCCAACCCCCTTTACTTCAAATTATATTCGAATTTAGATTCAGTCACAGTTTCACTACTAGTATAAGAACTTCTGCTTTCTTGTCCTCACGTGTCATGCCACTCTTAGTTTTTAGGTTAACTTATAACCTATTCGTTCTTACTTCTTACTTCTCACCTCTCGCGACTTTGTAGGGAGCAAATAAATCTTGAGGTAGCATATTCTGCCGTTTCTATAATCTCTGGCGGAGTGCAATCCATGTCGCTATCAGTTTCAGTCATTTTATTGTATACACAATTAATATTGTTATATTTTGTATTGAAATAAAAAACTTACCATACAGTTTTTTAATTAAAATTAATTGTAATTAACTTTTTCAAATTTTGAATTCAAAATGACAGATAATAGTGCAATGGGTCTGAAGTAGATGGCGTTACGCTCGACGGCGGGTTGTATACGTATTAAAATTACGTTCACGGAATATGTAAATTACGTTACACATGGTTTAAATAAAAATAGCGAGCGTAAATCATTTTCAATACATGTACATACGTATAGGTAACATCATTATTTGCATTGAATATGCAAAAAATATTTGATTTGTATGTAGGTATAGAAATATCTTACAACCTGCAATGTAAAACGATGCCAATGTGACATATCTCCGTGATTGTAATTTTTTAATTGGCCAACTTTCAAGGTCAATTTCTTTTTGGTACTAGGACCAAAAGTATCCACTTTTTGTACAGTTGCCATGGTGAAAGCGATTAATCCGCAAAACGTCAATTTTAGGTACCGAACACTGTCACAAAATAGCGTCTTATTCAGGTGGTTGGAGAAAAAATATTTTTTTACGAATTCTTATTCTTAGTTGGAAGCGGGACTTGGCACTTTTTCAATAGAGTCATTTAGGGATAAGGAAGCTGAACCATTGAATATAAGGTGTGAAGGAGCTAAACATACGCATATATTATTAATAATGTTTATTGCCATATAAACGTATGGTCGAATTACAGGACAAGACAAATATAACAGCTGTACTGTACAACATATTTGTCGTAGCAAAGCAAACAGCTTGCAAAGTAAAAAACTCATAAAGCAGCAGGTGGGGTGATAGAAAGAAAAACCAATGTTAGGTCTTGTATGAGTTATGTCAGGAAAGTATAAGACGATTCCTTCACTACAACATTTTTGAAGGCTGAAAATGAAATTTAATTTCGTCCCCTTTTGACGTGTCTGAGAATTTCTGTGTTAGGTTTCCGGAAAATTTCCGGATTTTAGTTGGGATAATTCCCAAAATAAGTTCTCGAGTATTCGGTTATTAGGTTGATTAGAAAGTGAATATTTCGAACCCAAATGAAACCGTGCAATTAGTTAATACGGCAGTACTCGTACATTACTACGACAAATATAGCTACAACCAACTCTTAGGTGATATCCGATCCATACGTTCAATTAACTTCAGCGACTCGTAGCGCCTTCTGAAATAAAAGTTACAATGATTTGTACTCGTAATAGGCGTATACTGCTCTTACCGTGCTTTTGATGTCATAGCTTGAATTATTCTAAAGGAAAAGAAAGTTACTTCGCGAGTAATGCGTTTTTACGCTTACCTCGGAATGGGAGATTTAATATTCCTGGACGGTTCCGTATGTCTGCAAAAAATAAAAATAAAGTAGCGAAATATTCAAATCGATTGTGCCAAGTTCATATAAATCTTTACCTCAAGCGAAAACCAAAAGGGTCTGCACCATTTCTTGTATGCGTTTAGATATATGGGTTGAAATGAATTTGATTTAGTAAAAGTGATATTGAAAATTGACAGTGGGATCTTTTTATAACAAAACGTTTTCACCTACATATTTAGTGACATCGGTACAATAACCCTCATCAGTTACCTGTAGCCCTCATCATTCCACTCCGTTGTTCTTGTTATCAAATATTTCAAAGTTCCGTCTCTGAAATATTACCCCACGTTAGTGAAAGCCTGCTCTGTAAAAGAAAACTGTTGATTTTAAACCTTAGAAAAGTGCTATAAGTAGTAGGTACAGGACTATATGAGAGTAGTGCATGTAACTATATATGCCAATCCCAGATGAACTGAAGCCTTACGTATATCGATCGACATAGGTAATTCCCAAGGGAATGTTGGTGTACAGTACTTTAAGCTGGGATGTAGCAAATCACCGGAAGCGTCTGTACGTTCCATGTATGCATATTTGTTCTCATTGAGATGGAGACGAACAGGCAACTCTGTCTCTTATGAAATATGAACATTGTTAAACACTCTCATCCAAACAATAATTGTCATTTCCCAAACGAAATAAAGTAATGCACGTTGCTTATTTACACACTTCTCTTTAGTTACGATAACTTAGAGTATAGGGAGAGCTTTCGAATTCTGTTTTGGCCAATGAAAATAGTAGAATAGTAGAAAAATACAGCCCCTATAAAATTCCGAAAGATGAATTTTTTGTGTGCAGAATGGCACAATTTCATTTCGGGTGCTAACACGAAAATTTAAATCTGAGTTAATAAAGGATACAATCCTAAAATCGCACAGAACCCAAAATTGCATCGAATAGTCACTATACATGGAGGAGTTCACCTCTAAAAGACTAATCAAGAGGGGATTGGTCGAGTGCAATCAACCCTTAAAGGATTAAACATTCCTAGAAATCTGCTGCATTAGGTATCATCGACCTGCAATGAGAGTCGAGGCTGTGAAATTAACCCCTAAACCATTTTCTGCCTTTTTATCTATTTTTTTTTGTTGGAGCGTTGTCAACACAATTTTAAATAGGAATCGATGTTGTGGAATCAACGCATTTTTCACTTGCCAGGGCTGCCAATTAAGAAACATAATCGATAGTTGAGATGATATGAATCGAAAACGAAAAGATTGAAGCCAATACCCGGAAACCCGAAACAGAAGGAAATATGGAGACATTTTTCCAAATTCGAAAATTTTTCAGAATTTCTATCCCGAGAAATGTTTGCGAGTAGGGAGGAAATTGGAGAAAAATGAAAGGTACCTGTTAAGACGGTTCTTCCCCATAGAAAATGAGAAAAATTGAATGGAAGGCAAGAAGTTTTGAAAAAATGAGAGCCAACACAACATTAAATTCTTGTTTTATAATCTACCAGTGACGCACCGAAAAAAAGTTCTGGAGTGGAAAATGGAACATGACCCCTGAAAAAGCAACACCCTGTAGATGTCCATTAACATTGACATGACCAATGATGTTCAGCGCAAAAAAATCAAATATCTCAAAAACTTTAGCAGAAGGAAAATATGAAAACATTCTTGAAATTTTATCACCCTGTAGATCTCTAGCGAAGTGTGTATGAACTTTTAGTAATAAAATAAGCCAAAGAATGAGCCCCTTTCGTATTTACATCATATTTAGGAACACCCTGTTATACATTTTAATGAAACAGAAGGGAAATTGGTGAAAATTTTGAGAAAATATTCGAAAGGATTCCGAGGAAATATGGAAAAGAAGGAAATATGAAAAAGAGTCAATCTTTATGAAAATGTTCTTACTTACGTCACGTAAAGGACTTTGATTGAAGTAGAGACATATAAAATCATTTTGGGATAATGGCATTTTGGGTAAAAAGCGAGGGAAAAAGGAAATACTAGGGTAATTTTTTGGAAGTAAGAAGACGTGAGGAATCCGATGACATTCTTGAAAAAATAGTAGACATTTTTATTATTTTTTGACGCATTTTCCAAATTTCATATTTATTAATATGTTTTGCTGAAATTTTAAACGCAGACACATATATATATATATATATACATATAGTAAAAAATCAAACTATTTTATTTATGGACATATTTCTTTGAAATTTTAACCATAGATGCCGCTAGTAAATTCAAACATAGCGCAGATATACATTTTGGAGAGTAGTGATCAATGCATGGAAAATGCGTTGTTACTCGTCGTAGGGCGAAAACCTTTTTAGCGCATTTTCACAAAAATAAAAAAAAATGCGCTATTGTGGCCACTTTGTCCGTCCGTCCGTCCGTCCGTCCGGCTGTCTGTCCGTCCGCTCGTTTTGCTACACTACTAGTTCTTTATCTTAAGAGCTATTGTTCTACTTTTTTCGCTATTTGGTTCGTTATGGTGTCGAGGCTTGCACCAAGGAAGGAATTTTTTCTGCGTTTATTGCTAAAAAATTATTGTAAAAAAACCAACAAACCGTTTTTTACATGTTCCATAATTTTACACTTTTGCGAATTCTCGAATTCTGATCCTAGAGATCATTTATAATTTTGTATTGTTGTCTGTCGTCTGTCTGTTGGTCTGTCCGTCTGTTCCGTTGCCTGTCTGTTCCAACTTTCTTATTTAGAAAAGCATTAAAATGAAATTCTTCTTATAAACTGAAATTGAAATAGCATGTCAAAAATGGATTGCTCATGTGCAACGCTATTTTTCATATTTGTGGCCGGATTTTTACGATTTTAACAGAAGTTGCATCTTACAAATGGGAAATGAATGCAAGTAGAAATGCGCTTTATGTAAATCGTTTACGATTACTTTTTAACTTGTTACTTATTACTTTTATTAGCTGTTTATTAGTATCTGATTTTCGGAAAACAAGTTCTAATGAAATACGATTACGGATATAAATTTAGAGCTGTTTTTAGGGTTCAGTATGTTGGGGTTCATTGGATAAAATGTAAAAGGTTAAGTTTAGAAAGGGAGTTGTTTCTATTGTGGACTTTGTATAAGATATTGATTATAAATTTGTATATGGAACTATCATGCTCAGTTGAAAATTTTTTGACTTCATTTAAAAGAACCCCTTAACAATACAGCACTTATACACAGTGCCTGGAAGGTATGAATATTGGATAGCCCAATCAATACAAATCTGGACAATTATTACTTCTAGCGGAAAATGATTTCAAACAAAAGCTATTCAAAAATGTCTTGTGCATCATAGACTGAAGTTTATTTGTTATTTTTATGGAAACCTAGGTAAATTCCATTTTGATTTTCTTAAATAAAAAAATCTCTATGAAATAATTGCAAAATGAGCAGGTACGCATTGCCATTTACAAAAATATGTTTGTACGTAAATATGGTCTCTTTTAATGACGAGGTTAAAGTGGAAGTGGAAGCATCAGAAACAATTGATGGATGCAAAGGATACGCACCATTGCATTGATAAGTAAAAGATTAAGGAAGGAGAGTATGCTATACAGGGTTTAGGGGAGTAGGCTAACATGGCTATCTTTGTTATTATTATACTTACAGATTCACTAAAATTGGCAAAGTTGTGTAGTTTTTTATGCTGATGGATATTCCGATGCGATATTTTGAAAAAAATAAATCGTTTCGTAGATAATTCAATAAAAGTGAAAATTGTCATTTTTAAAAAGTTCAAATATTTTAGTATCAAAGATAGTTATAGAAAAAAGTTTCAAATAAAAGTTGCAAGATTGGATAGGATAAATTTAATGAATGTAGAAATTTTTTTTTTAAATGGCGGTTTCGATATATTGACATCAACTTCCTTATTTTAAATGGACGCCATATTGGATTTTTACGTCACTCGATAGAGAAAAAAATTAAAAACCCAGTGATACTAAACACTTAGTATTTCATTTGGGAATCAACCTTATATTTTTTCCTCGAAGTTTACAATGTATTTCTTATGGCAATAATTCCTTGGCCGTGTCGATAGTGACTATGCGAGACAATAAACGAAAGAATTTGGTTTCAATCATAATCAGCCATGGAATTATTTCCATAAGAAGTACATTGTAAACTTCAAGGAAAAAATGTAAGGTTGATATTAAGAGTCTCGAAAACCAGCAACGATAAAAAGTTAAATGGGGGAAGGAATTGTAGCTTTACCAGCTCATGCAAAAAATGTTTTGATTTTCGGAAACAATATCTGGCTAACTAGAGAAAGCACTAAAATGTTTTTCTCGTTGTATCATTTCTTGTGGCTTCGTCATGTTCGTAATAATAGCAAGATTAGATTAGATTAGATTAGATTAGAAAAACGAACCTTACTTTATACTATTTTACTCAAACAAATCTATACTTAATTCTGTCTGATAGAAACCAAAAATAGAAAATATGCAAAGGGACGAGTTATACATAATAATAAATAATGTCAAAGATAATTAAGTATTTATTTCAAACCTATATCTGAAAAACCCTATGAGTATATTTATACTACTTTCTGAGATCTTATACTTAAAAATGTAAAAAAGCAACTCGCGCTCCATGTGTTAAATAATTCATTCTTAACGAACGAAATTAGTGATATGTGATCTACTAACCTGGCAGATTTCATCAAAAGAGACTGTGAGCTTGCCATCCTGTAAGTGAAAATAAAATTGACTCGGTTGTAGAATTGTTACTGAAAGTACTTACAGCGAAGATGTTGATGGTGTAGTACCCAGATGCGGTTCAGGTGACCTAAAAGTATATAATATTTACTTTTCTCGTATGTCACTACACAATTTATTCCCATGGAAATTAACTGTCAGATAGATTTATTGGTACCATGAAAGCCGGTTCAAAATTAATTGCTTATTGCTGAAAGCAGGTGATGAAAATTCAAAGAGTTGTGTTTTGGGTAAATTATAAATGTAATTTGATAAATAATTTCGTGGATGGCGTAGCCGTTCAAGGAAGGAATGGTGTCCAGAATGTTCGCTGAGTTACCAAACCTTACTTTGGATTAGGTGACAAAATCTTATCCGTGAATATTTAGATTAGTGTTTCGAATACAGGGAGTAGAATTGATACCCTCAAAATAGGAAACTATGTCAATATTTTCATCCCTAGTCAACTGAGACTGAGTGTTAATATCGGTGTTAACACTCAAATTGTAGTAACTACTTTTAAACCAAAAATAACTAGCCCAAAATCTACATTATTCTCATAATTTTATACATATACACGCTTACTAACCAACCAAGTGAAGGAATCTCGAAAAGAGCAGGAAAATACAGGCTAAAGTGTTAAACTACTCAACTTTCTCTTTGACTTTCTAAACAATTGTTCAGCAGATAGGAGTTTCCATTTTGCAGATTCGTTTTATGAAAAGTATACAATAAAAGCAAAATGGATCTGCAAGAAATAGAACAAAGAGCTTTATGATGATATGGCCAACTGGATATTTAATGAATTAAGAAAAAGTGAAATCAATGAATTTTACTTCTCAAATTTGATTAAACATTCTGAATGGGATTTTTCGCTTCAAAATAAAATCTTTGTAATGCAAATGAATAGTACGACTTGAATCGATAAAAGTAGTGTATGTTGGTTTTTAATATCCACGTTTGTAGTTGAATGACCAAGTAATGCTAATACTCTAGCGTCTCGTACCTTAAATGTGACGGAATAGACCTCGCCGAATCCAAGATCCTGTAATTGTAAGAATAGCTGAACATGTAATCCAACTTATATTTTATACCGGGAAACGGAAGCAATTGACTGTACTCCTTGGCTTCTATAAATATGCAAATTTAAAGTAAATTTCCCAATCGATGTGTATTTTACCTGACTGGCGTCGCCGGAGCGTTGTCCGGTGAAGGTTCGCGAATTCTGAAATTCAAATACCCAAGTTACCAAAGTTTGTAAAATTTTATTTTTCAATATAGTTTCTCTGCTTTTGAATACAGTAGGTATAACATCGTTTCAATAACGTCCTTAATCCAGAATAAATATATTCGTTTGGATTTTCCGCAAAAAGGCCCTCGGTAGCTGCTATAAGTTCTTCATTGTCCCTAAGTGTTGTCCCTTTAGTGCTTTTTTTTTTAGATTTGGGAAAAAAATAGTCACTGGGTGCTAGATTTAGACTTTAAAGGCAAATGCTCAATTTCTTCGAAGCGGCAGGCAGCTACAGCAGCTTTTGAAAGTCTGGTCTTGTGCACTGGTGCATTGTAGTGTAGTCTTCACTTTAAGCATCTCTTAAGGTTTGCATAATACTTCTTGTGACCGTACGACCCTTGTTCATATCATCAATCAGCAAAAGTCTCTAAGAGTCTCAAAAAATGGTTTTTCCTGCAGAAGGGGTGACTTTAAACTTCTTTGGAGAGCTGGAGCTTCAACTGCATCGACTCTTGTTTCAGGATCAGAAGGATGAACCCAAGTTTCATCTCCGGTGATATGTCGCTGGTTCATCACCACAGCGTGCCAAGTTGCTACACATTTGGAATGGAGAAAGCATTCGGGGAACCCATCTTGCACTAACCTTTGCATTCCAAGGTACTCGTGTAAAATTTTGAAAACCGTAGATTCTAAAACTCCTAGTGAAGCTGCTAATTGTCGCTTCTTTAGTCTTGCATCCTCCAGTACCAAGTTTTTCAACAACATCTGAACTGATCACGTTAACAGGGCGCCCTAGACGGGACTTATACTCCAGTGATTCTCAAACTTTTTTAAACAATTGTTACCACTTGCAAACTCGTAGGTTAGAAGAACAGTCATTCTTGTATACGGCCAATGTTCCTTTAAAAATAATTTTTGGAAGTTTTCCTTGTTTTGTATGGAATTTGTTAACATTCCGCTATTAATTTCCATATCATCTAACGTGCAAGGACACAAACTGATAATAAAATGAATAATAAAAAATTGCATCAAAATTCAAAGCAGTCCAGTCCGGAAATATAAAATCGACCCCTCGTGTTTAGAAAAATACAGTTTGATTTGCAAAAATTGAATTTTCCATACTTGAACGTGAACGGTTCAGCCGTCTGCTTGTTCTTGAATTTAATTTATTAATTCTTAAATAATGTAATATCCAAAAACATATAAGCTGTATGTAGCTTCCTCCCTTTCCAATATGTGTTATATTTTCAATTTTCAACTTTGAAACTTTAAGTTCAATGTAAAATTCAAAAATTCAACGTCCGATCGGTTGTCTTTAATTAGGCCACCCTCTTCGGTTTTAGAGCCCTTAAATGGTGCATTTAAATATTTGTCTGTGTCGTAAAATTTAAGTTTCAACACATTCCATCTTCAATGTGTCAAAAATTAAAAAAAAATGTAACTTCAACACCATCTATTCTTTTCATTGTCAACCAGTCTTCAATGTTTAACCTTTACAACAACACCTTCCATCAATAATAATTAATTTCACCTGATGGTGGCGATTATCACCGAAACTGTAGTCGTTATTTAATAGTACAACAATAAATGTATGGGGAAGGCTTTGATATACGATTTTCTCAGGGATTTTCTTAATCTTAGAAAGAGCTTATTATAATTCCGACACATAAGCGAATTATTTCGGCAGTTTTTTTTAATGTTAGGTACACTTACTGTGGTGGTTTTCGGATTAGCTTAGTTGCATCGAGAATTCTGTAAAAAAATTCAGTATTAGGCGACAATATCTTCTCAATTAGCATATGTGCATTAAAGCCAGTTTTACCTTATATTTTTCACTATTACATTCTGTAATAGATTAATTATCAAATTTTGTCAAGGTTCCCTAGCAACACAGTTCCGTATAAGAAACGTTTATTGTAGACTAAAAGCCTACGAATACAGGGTGTCCATTATGTATGGAATATAGCATATATCTGGGTAAATATCGACAAAAATTGTATATAAAAGTTGTTTTACAGTTTAGTTTCCATAACAAGGCAGCATTCAATTTTTTTTAGTAAACAAATGAATAACGAATAATTCTTTAATTTTTTTGAAATAGCAATGTACCTTTTCATTAGGCTTTTAAGAAAAAAATGAACATACTGAACTTGTACTGTGCGCGTATGACATCTTACCGCTGCTTAAATTTGTGACACAACTAGGGTTGCTATAGCAACCGCTACAGGATCAGTCTCATAATTTACACACCTCGTAGAGAGAACCTTGGTAATATTTTTCTAAACTTGTGTTGGTTAATACACAACAGTTTAGGACCTCTATACCGACCTTGATGACTTCGCAAAAGCTTCTGCTATTCTAAAATAGAAAAAAATTGTAACTGTCAATTTTTTAGCTGGTTTAGCTCACCTGTTTGGTTCCAGTCGCAGGGGAACTTGTTCGGGAAACCTAAAGAGTATGCTAAGTTAATATTGAACTAATTACAATGGACCTATTCTGTAACCAAGACGTTAAGCTAAAGGGATTGAGTTACCCATTTCATTAGTTAACCTTTAAATACATACAGAACAGGCCCCAAGATTATCAGAATTACCTTGGTGGAGATGGGATCATAGTGTCCATGTGTTCTCTGAAAACAGCCTCCACATTTTAGATTCAGTTAATAAAGCAAGCCGCCTAATCCACGATTGAATTCAACCAGGGTGGAGTTTGGTGTCGAATATCTGCATAAATCTACCTTGAAATATGAAAAGCTTCATATTAACTGAATTCTCAACCAGGATGAATACAATTGCAGAGTAAGCAACGTTGTTGTATAAAATACATGGGGGGGGGGGGGCGTTTCTATAGGTTGAAACAATGCTGAAGATGAAAACGGGCCACTTTGTAGTGTAAAAATATGTGTTTTACGTAATTTCGGTCGGAATATAGGAAATGGTAGTCGGGACATTACTTGTGTATAAAATAATTCAAGTCATTTATAAGGCCTGCGAATTCGTTATTTCAAATTGACACATAACGGGAAGATTTTGTTAAATTGTCATTTTAATGTTTCTTATTGTAAATTTATTAGGTAATTGTCCAATTCATTAAATCCTATTTGTTGTACTTAGTTTGTGTCATAGATTTAAAACTGGAAACCTAGGGAACATTTATTGGAAATTTTTACGCGAATTTAAGGTTTTATCTGGTCAGATCTGGTTGATAAAAAGTTGATTTCGAAAAAGAATTAGTTGGTTTTTCGACAAACACCGTTACGTGCGAGATAAGCGATGCAGGTGGTTCTGGCAGCGTAGATAGAATTTCGAGTTTAAAAAAGTTTGTGTTCAAAATGAAGTAGTAATTGGTGTAATACAAGAAAAGTCGTACTATCCGAGCAGTCAAGCAGTTACTTTGTGTTCGAGCCTGTTGTGATGTTATAAAAGGGAGTTGCAACGTTAGGATTTTATTGTTGTGTCGGAACCACGAACTTATAAATTAAGATGGATTGCTAATGCTGAATTGACAAATGACACCTACATAGGGGCAGCCATAATGTGCACTTACTTGGCGCGAAATTCAAATCAACTAATAAACAAGCATTAACCTCACGTTTTCTAAATAAATTACTGTGACACATGTCATTTTCCAAGGCTGCCGTCTCAAAACTCGAGCACTAGGAAAATTCCCCTAGAAAATAACTAAAACGTGCACATCATGGCCGCGCCCATGCTATGCAACTGTTTGATCAGCAGTCTATCTTAATTTATAAGTTCGTGGTCGGAACCCAGTTGTCTCTGAGGAAAAATTTAAAAAGAAAAAAAAAACGAAATTGTGTCGGTTGAGTGGTGTAGTGATCGTATACCATTGCGCACAGCAACATGTGTACCTTGCTATCACCCAGGGCATCTCCGAAGGTGGTAGATCATGTCTTTGAACTCCTTCGGACGAACTCCTGAAATAATATTACCATAAATTATGAAGAGTTTTTAATTTCATGAGTCGTTTACAATAAATGCATACATGATTAAAAACCTAAATAGAACATATAAATCACTAACACAGGGATTGCCACTTAACCATAAGGCATAAGACGTAGGAGACGTAGAAAAGCATTAAGACAGGGCACAGGTCGTGGGAAGAAGAAAGATATGGTTCCTGGCATCCGCGAACAGACGAAGGAAATGACCAGAAGAATGGAGACGTATTGGCAAAGGAAAAGAATGGAACCAAATATATAAAAGTCGAAGATGATGAAATTTGGAAAGGGGGTAGAAGGAAAACGAAGATATAATGGAAATGAAGAGAGGAAAGAATAGAAGAGGTTGAATATTTATGGTACCAATGTCGATGAGGCAGGTGCACGGGGGGAATAGGAGGAGAGGTTTCAAAAATGACTTCAGAACAAGAAAATGCCTGTTCGATGCAATGGTGAGAGGGGGACGCAGCTATGGGGGTGGAAAGAATCAGATGAACTAGAAGAAATACTGGAAATGGGTAATAGGGCTGAATAGAAGGACACCGAATAGTATAATAGAGGAGGAAACAAAAGTGGAGAAGATGAGGATAGCATCGGGGTATAGGGAGGTAATTTGGAGGAGAGGAGTGAAAGAGAAAGCGAATTGGTAAACAAATGCTTGACAACGAAGATGAACGCTTAAGGAACATAGTAGGAGTGATGGGGAAAGAGGTGAGAAGTGGATGAGGAGGATACCAAAGAAAAGAAGAGAAAAACACTGTATGTTTTTATAACTTTAATTGTAAAAATGTTTGCCATTTTAGAGTTGAATAAATTTGATTAATTGATTGAGCTAAAGAGAATAGCCACAGTAGAGATCATTTTTAAGTAGTGGAGAAACCATACACTTACGAAAACGTTGAGGAAGGAAAGTAATTGAACGGCACACAGCGGGGAAGCTTAGTCTTCGACTACCGTTTTACCTATTTCTATATCGGTACAATGACAAAACCATCCTGTTGGACCATTTGTCACTTTCGAGATTATCGTCTTTCATATGGTCAGGCGTACACATTTACCTACACAACCAATGATAATGGTCGAATATTCCACATTCGCAACTTTTCCCATTTAGAAAAGTACATTAAAAATGTTCTTTTTAAGGTGTCGAACAAGGTTTTTCTTAAAATGATAACAAACAATTTACAAAAAATGGACTATACCTCACTTTTTGGCACGACATTATAAAATACGAATTAATCGGGTTAGACAAATTTCTATAAAATTAAGGCAATGCTAAAAAAGGGTTCACGCTATACACCTTTCTACCCCTTCTTTTTTTAATTTTGTTTTGCGTACAAGTTGTACTTTTCAGTTTTGAGTTAAATTCTAAACAATGACATTTAAAATCTAAATATTACCGTGTCCTATTTGTAACATTTTGAGATCATTTATTAAATTACCCTCGATTGTTCTGTTCTATCCTTTCAATGATTTTATCTCTTTCGCTTACAAACACCCGAACAAGGATCTCTTAGTTTGCTTCTTTTTGGCTAGTGTACAAGAAACCCATTATTCACCCCAACCCACCTCCACTTTACCTGAGTTTACCCTGTGCTTATCTCGTGAATTAATTGTAATAGCAAGTATACTAAAACTTCAATATGAGTTACTTTTAATTTATGTATTAGGACATATGCACATACAAGAATTAACAATTGAAAACTTTCACATGCGCATTTACTCTTTTACGAGCGATGAAGTAGTGCAGGAGTATGACAAATTATACGTTGTGTATACCAGATCGGTTGCACCCATTTTAAATTCTAGTATATAATCATACAATTAGCGATAACCATCATGAATATTATAAGGCGATGTCACAATTTAAAGAACTTCAGTAAACATTGATCTTTTCGATTACCATCCTTCACCTTAACAATTAAGGTTCACATTCACTGTCGCAAATTACCACAAGCGGTTTCAGGAAGTAGAAATTGATGTGCTAATCATATTACGGTGATTAGCTACAGCGATCTAAATAAAATGTCAATTAGACGACTTTTTGGTTTTCTGTCGTAATTCAAGTAACTGGTTTTGGCTACATAATTAGTAATACTTGAGTTATCTCCTTGTAAAAAAGAAATTTACGATTCTAATGATTGAAATATATGGTTTAATTATGGATTCGGTGCAGGGCTGAGTGCACTATATAGCAAATGTCAATTAAAACTTGTTTGCAAAAGTATCATCGTTCATTCAGTAAAACTTTGTTAATAGACTAACTACACCGTCAACGAATTAATTAATTAATTGTTGGTTGATCGCTATTTAATTAGATATTCATAATTCAAAAATTTGGGCGTATAGTTAGCCCCCTACTTTAGAAATTACAGAATATTTTTATTGAAATCGTTTATTGGTCCTTTTGACGTTTGTGGTTGACCGTTATTTAATTATTCAAATTTCAAAATTTGGGCGTATAGTTAGCCCCCACTTTTTAAATTTTCAAAATATTTTGATTGCAATCGTTTGTTGGTCGTTTGTTGGTGTATGTTAGTTACATTTTTAGGTTTGCTGGTTGATGGTTGACATTTGGGCGTATAGTTAGCCCCCCCCCCTCCAAGTTGCAATATTTCATTTTTTTAAGTGGTAATCGTTTATTGGTGTTTTTTGGGTATTCTTTGCCGTTTGTTGGTTGATAGCATCTTCAGAATAAATTTTGTAAGTTTTGGCCGTGAAGCCGCTTCTTCATTAAAATTCTTGAATTTTTTTATTTACAATCGTTTCTTGGAGTTTTTTAGGCGATATTTTGTCTTTTGTCGGTTTTTGTAATTATTAAGGAAAAGTTAAGTTTGATCGTGAAGTTGGATCCCGTTATTATAATTTTTATACCTTTTAATTTGTAACAAACGGTAAAGAATACACAACAAACACAAACAAACGCCCAACAAACGATCACAACTAACAAAAATTAAATATTGCAAGCTGGTGGGGCTAACTATACGCGCCCATATTTTTGAATTTTGATAAATTAAATAAAGATCAACCAACGAACGTGAAAATGTAACTAACAAACGATTGCAATGAAAATATTTTGAAAATTGAAAAAGTGACAGGCTAACTTGACGCCGGTGTGGCGTTTTGGGCAAATATGTACAAATTGCTCTCCAACTACACTCTCCTTGGTGAAATCCCTCCCCATTGCATCAAATGGATAATCGATTTTTCTTATATAAGAACTTCGTATACAGGGTGAGTTTTGTCATTTTAAGCATTAGGATCTTGGAAACCGTAATAAATAAAGATTCGGTTAAATGAGGAAAGAGTTGTCGTTTTAAGAGCTTATTCAAGATATACTTTTGTTTTTTGAAAAAAATTCACAGTTTACTAGTTAGAATCGTTACTATTAGAAATACAGAAATATGCAAAGAACAAAAATTGTAGATTTTTTTCCGCTTAATAAGGTACATTTATTAATTTTCATTCTTCTTTTATAATTTTCGAGTGTTAACTCAAACTTACATATTTTTAAATGGCAACCATAGTTGGCTGTGATATTTTTAAAAAGTGCATTTTTTTCTGTTTACGATGATATAAGGTTCATTGTACTTACTTTGACAAATAAACATTAGAACTGTTTGTATTATTAAGAGTAGTAAAAACAGAGTTTGCTATGGAAAACATTTTTGTTCTCTTAATTTCTCAGTCTATTATAATATTTAAACTTTAAACTTTAACGGCCACAACAACGAAAAGAAATTACGAAATATTACATTTAAATTTCTACTGTGAAGTAATTACATGTAACAAAAATTAATATTTATCTCGGCAAATGTTCAAAGTGCCCATGTTTAATATTTACACACAAGCGGAATCTTTTCGCGATAGAATTTACAGCTTTCCGTATTATCCTACCATCTAAATTGCGAAAGGCATTTACGACAGTATCATGTAGTCTTTTGTCGCCTAAGTTCGCTGATAAATTAAACCCTTTTAAAGGCCCCATACACGGTACGATCGATCTGTCCGATCCGTCGTTTCAGACCGATCGAAACGACGAATCGATATATATAGCGTATGTCAAGATCGTTAACGATTTACTTCATCGAATTGGATATCGGACATCGCAACAAAAAAGCATGCAATCATGAATATCGTAACGATGAATCGACAGTGTATGGCTCATTGCGATCAACGATTCGACAGGGCACGTATGACTTCTTAAATTATTTAATCACGATCGTAACGAGTAACGACCAATCGTTTCGTGTGTGACTGGTAAGCTTTGGGCGATATATTGTCACGATATCACTTCAGATCGATCGTGACGACGGATCGTTCCGTGTATGGGGTCCTTTAGAACACCGAAAAGGAAAAATCTAAAATTGAAAGATCTGGTGATCTTGGTGACCAAAGGGACGACCCGTTCCTACCTATCCATGACTTTGGAAATAGTTGGTTTAGGTGCTCTCATACTTGCAGTTGGTTGTGCGGCGGGGCACCGTTGTGTTGAAACCAGCGTAAATTACATCGTGTTTCCAAATCTAACCCATCCTACATATCTTGAAATTCATTTGGTAGCAAATGAAGATAATGTCCAATTTTCATCGTAAATTAAAGGTCCAAGAATTCGCGATCCAATAATTACGCACCAAACATTAAATCCATGTTTTCTTTGAAGCCTTCAACAATAAACAGCAGTATTTTGTTTATTTATTGTTTTTCATGGCATGATACGATCTACTTTTAATTGTGAATATAATTGTTAATTTAACTTTCATAGTGATTTTCGAAAATGGCCTTTAAATATGGTAAATGTGCCACAGTTACACTATTACCTCGACTATTACCTATTTCACTAGATGCTGTTTTCCATGGCAAACTATGTTTATTTACCTCTTAATAATACGAAAATTCCTGCAGTGCGTTTATTTATTAAAGTAGGTACCTACATTTAGCAAGCCTTATATCGTTATAGAGACAAAATTTGTCCT